ACCATCCTTACTGCGTTTGAGGGTCCTATTAGGCTTGATAAGCACAGGGACTTGTTAAAGATCCCTGTCTGATACTTACCCTTGGACAAGGACTTATATACCACACTGCCTTTATCCACCCATCCACTGGTGGACACTTGGGAATGACGTTGCTATAGAGACGGGTGTCAAAATATGAGCCCCTGCTTTTAATTCTTTTGAATATATAATTACAGATGACATGGCCATTCTATGCTTTATTTTTTGAAGACCTGCCATATTGTTTGCTGTATCAGCTGCACAATTTTACTTTTCCACCAACAGAGTACACAGGTTCCAATTTCTCTGCCTCCTCAACAACATTCCACTTAAGGTGAAACACCCTTGTTTAAACCCTAAAAGAATATTTACTTTATTTCCCTTTTTTTGTCCTGGAACTCTTTCTAGAATGCATCCTGCCTGTCCCTGTGTCCTTTCCCGGGCATATTCGCATACCATTTTATGGATGTGTTCAGGTATTGATTAGGCCATGACAGTGATATCTTCCGCAGCAATTGATGGGGCTTCTGCTCCGACACTAAGTGGTCCCAAACTCCCATGTTTCTCTAAGACTCAAGTCCATTTCTCTTGTCTCCCATACTGCCAGGTTATCAACAGGCTGTTAACCAGGTGGTACAGCTATATTGTGACTTCCTATTTCTGGGTGGGAGCCTCTATTAGTTCCCTGTTCTGCCTCTGTCCCTTCTATTTTCTTTCTATTAGGGAGACAGCCAACCAGGTTACTAGAGCTGTATGTTAAAGAAAAGTATTGGGTTTTTAGTACAAGGAATTTGAAACAGCTATTTCAGTATTTTCTTCTAGATTAAGGGTTCAAGTTTACATAGCTGAGACTCCTGGAAAATGGAAAACACTCTGGACACAAAATGTAGCTCCTTTAGAAGAACTTGGGCAAATTATTTGAATTCTTGGGTCCTCAATTTCCCAATCTGGAAATGGGTATACCAATGCTTCTACTTCCAGGGTGATGAGGTTTTAAAGATTTAGTCTCACTCAGCTGTAATCAGTGTTGGGTGAAGACCTCCTGGGCCGAGCTTGGAAACAGCTCAGGCATCCTGACAGCTGAGCTTCAGGGCTCTCTGGGAGGCATTCTGGCCACTTACTACATGCAGGTAGCTTAGCTACGATATAGCTTCCAAGGCAGCTCATTATTATTGGTCTTCAAATAGAAGTTAATAAATAGACCAACACAGTAAGCGCTCAGAGAACGAGTCCAAGAATATCTCAGAAAAATCACAACTTCAAGATGTACTTGGATGAAGCCATAACAACAAACACAGAAGCTCTGGCCTGCAGACCAGATATTCTGATTAAAAAAGAAAGAAAGAAAGATGCCATGAAGCTTAACAATCCTGCCGTTTGATTAGGCAGGAACTTTACAAGAACATATGCAGGGGCGTTAATTAGGCCCGTGGCTCTGGAAGAGAAATGGTGGAGATTATAAAACACCAAGGGAAGCCAAGTATCCATTCAGGAGCTGGGGTTGGGGGGCCCACAGGTTCTTGAGCTGAACAGCCAAAAGAATTCAGAGTTCTTCATACATGAGCACAGATTTAGAAAGTGGTACATTAGGATTCTGTTGCATAAGCTGAAGACTTACACAGTAACAATAGGCATGGATGATTCCCTACAGGGAGACTGTTCTTTCCAAATTTGTTAAGCCCACATTTACCTGCTCGTAAACATGACCTACCCTAAGTACTGGTGAGGCTTGTGTTCAGAAAACACCACTGCCCATCCTCTCACCCTAAATAGAGGTGATGATGGGAGAAGCAGGGCAGGCTTGGTTATTCCTGCTTTATAGGCAGAAGATGGAGTCCCAGGGGAATAAAGGACTTCTCCGCATTACTCACTCGGGGGGAAACTAAAATAAATTGCTTTAAATGAGTTAGCATGGCTAAATCCCCCAAACCAAAGCACTTACTACATTTTTTCAGCTGCTGTTTTTGATGAGATGCTCACATGGAGATTTTGGTGCAGCAAATACTGCTGAAATAATCACTCTCGGCTATCTCTGAGCTCTGGGGGTTCAAACCACACTTGTAATAGGGCCTGACTTGCAATGACCACTGGATCGTCCACTACCGCCTTTTGGTGGGGAAGACACTGCCTTTTCCTCATGACCCTCCTGGCTCCTCTCCCCCCAAGTGTGAGCCGCCTCCATCCTTCTTCCCGTGGTCCTTGCCTCTAGCAGTGTGACTGTGATCATGAACCAGGGTGGGGGGCAGCAGGTGTAACTGTCGTAGTACCACTTGCGGTCAATCTCCCGGGGCAGGGTTTCATAGGCCACGTGGCGGATCAGCCGCTGGGAGAGGTTCAGCCCCTTCTCCTCCAGCAGGGCCTTGCTGCAGAGCCTGCGGTTCCCCTGCAGGATGGCCTGGCGGAAGCTGTTGGATCGCTTGTTGCTCATCTGCACAGGAAAACAGGGTGAAGGAGAGGGTCAGAATCAGAGTCTCAAGGGAGCCCTGGCCCCATTTCCTGGCCAGCACATTCCTTAGACCCGCCAGGCCTAATCCTTTCCCCTTTCTTCATGATAGCTATCAAGAAATGTGATAGCATTTCACAGATTTTTGGTTCATTTAATATGACTAGTTTACCTGTTAGATAAGAATACACATAGCCCCATTCTACTTGATGAGTAACCAAAGCAGAGTGTTTTAGGGAATCCATCAAGTTTCAAGCTGGTAAAACTCTAGTGCTTGGGCCCTCCCTGGTGGCGCAGCGGGTTAAAGCACAGCACTGAGAATCTAAAGCCGCCTCTGAATGAGTTCGATTCCCGCCTGCTCCGGAGGTGACCACATGGCGTGGCAGGCCTCTCCTGACCCGCCCGCTGCTCCCCTCAGCAGTGTACTTCGTCAATCTGCTTGTTCTGTTCCCCATTCTGTCTCTGGTGAAGCCTCTCACCGCCCCTGAGCCTCTGGCCTGTACCCCAGTTCTGTATGCACAAATAAATAAATAAAATCTTTAAAAAAAAAAAAAAAAACCTCTAGTGCTTGTACCTTTCTCCCACTTACCCATCATGATACATTCATCACAATTCACTGGAAAATTGCTAAGTTTCAGGCACATTGCTAATGATAGGTAACTATCAAGACAGATAAGAAACCAGCAATCATGTTCAGAATGAAGACTGTAGTTAGAGCACACAGGAGGGAGCCCAACCTAGCCCCAGGGTGGTCAGGGAGGACTTCCTGGAGGAGATGGTATCTGACTGAGACCTGAAGGTTGGCGTAGACGTTATTCTCCTCAGTCACACTAGCTTGGGAAGAGGTAGTCAGCAATTAACCTTTGTAGAATTTCTCAGAAGCAGAACCCAAAGCTGTCCTTGTGAGAGGTCACCATCCTTAGTGCGTTTGAGGGTCCTATTAGGCTTGATAAGCACAGGGACTTGTTAAAGATCCCTGTCTGATACTTACCCTTGGACAAGGACTTGGCCTGAAGCTGCCCTGACAAATCCTCAGTGAGGGCCTGGCTGCTTCAACTGAAGTTGGTCTGACTCCTGAAGACCATGGGTGGCCTTGCTGACTTCTAGCTTGAGGCCTCTATGGCTACCCCCCTGCTCTCCATGACCACACTGTGGAGCCTTCTAATGGAAAGGTGTCCTGGAGACATAGCTCTCCCAACCCCAGGGCCCACAATGCTGCCTGGGTGGCTGTTCCATGGTAGCTAGAGTGGGACTGTAGTTAAACTTGGAGTGGAGACTAGGTTAAACTTGAAGGTGGGAGCTCAGAAAGGGCTGGCAAGGTGCACTAGGTCAGCTCAAGATACAGGTCTAGAAGCCCTGTCAGAGGAGAGGAAGGCAGCTGGGAGTACTGGGCTCCAGATCAGGCCAGACGGAATGAGCCTCTAGGTAAGTACCCCTTTCCCACTTCTGGTTGTGCAATTTCTTTCCTCCAAAATCTGGCTTAAAGAGCCTTACAGGAGGTACTCCTTTCAACGATTCCTTGCCCTATGCCTACAATGCTGAGAATTGACTCTTTTTAGTGACTTTGGAGATTAGTAAATGCAGGCAAGCTTTGGGGCTCCATGTACCCTGCAAGCCCAAGAGGGGCTCACATTGTCACATTATTCAGTAGCTACTCTTACCACTCTCTCCCAGTGCCCAAGTGTGTGTGTGCACAGGGGTACAGACTACACACACACCCACAAACACCTTCATGGCCACACCCTGAAGACCTATGATGGGAACAGGCTGTGTATGCATACAGGAGAAACTGTGTGTGCACACACCCTCACCTTTCACCTGCAGCCATGCCTAGAATTGGGCTGGGCATAGCAGTAACCATGCCCTGGGGCTTCCGTGAGCTTACAAGGAGAGACAGACAGGTAACCAGCAGCAAAAGAGGATGTCACTTTAGTTATCTGGTGCATAGCATTATCTCCAGTTATAGATGAGACAAAAGATTGGAGAGGATAAGCAATTTTCTCAAGGACCCACAGTTAGTAAATCGCAGTCAGGATTCAGTCCCAATCTGCCTGACTTCAGAGTCCTGGCGAAGGACCCAGCTCTAGCTGACGTCAGGCCATGATCTCTACACCCAATGCAAGTTTCCCCTGCCCCTAGCTCACACCCTAGGAGCCCATTCTTAGTCCTGGTGCATGCTCTGGCTCAGAATTTGACCAGAGAAACTCTGAAACCTGCTGCTGTAAGTTCGCACAGACCCCCAGCTGGAGAGGACATTTCACTGCTTTGGCTACATCCTTGTTCTGCCCTAGACTAAGCAGGACACCATGATGCCACCAATATGCTGGTGCTAGGTTATGAATGAGCCTACACTATTTCAAACCCATGGCCTGGTCTTTGTGGTACTGCTGGGCTCACCTCCACCACTGATTCCACAGGTCCCAAGTGTCCCAACACAACTCTGATCCCTGCCTGCTAAGCGGGCAGTTCCCTGAGTCTATGCTGAACAGTAGCTGATTCCTTTACCTCTAAAGACTTACAGCTCCTCTCTGCAGTCATGTTAACCTTTGGACAAAGGTTCTAGCCAAAAGGCAATTAAATTAAGCTCAGGGGCATCCATATCAGAGAGCTCACCTGACACAGTGACAGGTGCAGTGGCTACTGGCTCTCCATCACTAGTGTCTTGAATGCTAGAAGTGTGGGGAACTTTGTACCAGTCACTTCACTCTCCTCCCCTTCAAGGGTCAAGTAGGGAGGCAAGAGTCTCCACTTCACTGAAAGGGAAACCAAGGGGAGACTTCCAGCCTTGTGTTCGTCCTGCTAGTTCATACAGCTTCTAATGATGCCCCATCCATCCATGTTGGGCAAAAAGCTGCCTGTTTAACCCCACTGTACCCCACCGCAGTTCCATAATTGCTCCCCTAACCACACAGTATAATTCCTGGCGAGGAGGAAGTCCCTCTTCCAGAACCCAGAGCAATGGGCAGGATTCATGAACTGTCTCCAGCCCCTCTGACAACCCAGGATTCCACCAACAGGATTGATGAACCTTAAACTTAGTGCCACTCAGGGAGGTCTGGCTTGAAAAACCAATACTCAATCCTCAGTTCCATCTCCTACTACCAATAAATTACCTTCCATTCCCAGCTCTTCCTTTCAAAGGGATCCCACTCCCAGCTCCAGGGGTGGGCAATGACTGACATGAGTCAATCAACACATGACTCAATCGAGGCTAAAGAGAGAAAAGAAATCCCAGGCTTCGTGAGGGTGCTGCTACAAGAAGTGCCCCTTTCTTCTCCTGTATGGCGAGACCCAAGGGTGTGAGGGCTGGAACAGCTGCGGCCACTTAGCTACCACAACTGGAAGGTCTGGCGTTGCCAGGAGCTTCTCTTCAAGGGGGTGACACTCAGAAGGCAGAACCAAGAGACTAAGAGAAACTAGGTCTTTGGTGGTATCCTGCTGAAGTCTGAACTTGTTTCAGTGCTGTGGATCAACAGATCTCTTCAGCTGTTCCTAAAGGTACTCTAAGTGGCAACCCCCACGGGCCCACCCAGGGTGAGGGCCCCAGAGTGCTCACCAGGTTGACAAAATCCTGGTAGCAGATCTGCCCATCCGCGTGGCTGTCGGCAAGAGCCAGGAGCACCTCTCTTTTGTGCGGGTCCAGCTTGGCACTGCGGCTCTCCAGGAGGCTCCGGAACTTGCCTGTGCTGATGTAGCCCGTGTTCCCGGGGTCAAACTGGGGGAGAAAGAAGCACAGAGAGCAGTGGGGTCAGTGGGGCTCAGCCCTCCTCACAACCCCGGGATCGGTGCCCCCTCTTCCGCCACTCACTAGCTCTTGTCTCCAGACCTCTGCCAACAGAGGCCCAGGCCATGCCTGGGATGTGTCCAAGTCCCCCATGGGAAACATCCAAATAAGGTCACGGACGACCACTTAACATGCTAGAAGCTCTGGAGTGCTTCGAGATCACCCACTCCAAATGTCTCATGCGTGGATAAGGAACTGGGGTCTCAGAACCTTTAAATTCCCTTCTCTCCCTTACTCCTGACTTTAGACAAGAGGAAAGCAGGAGTGAAAAAGCAAAGAATTCTGCCAAGAGGAGGGGCTTTTGTGGGGAAGACTCCAGGCAGAGGGGCAGGGACGCAGCCTTGCGTGTCCTCTGTCAGGCTGCTGCCCCATCCATGCCGCACCCATGCACCCCACCCCACCCAACGCAGCTGCACAGGGGTCCTGCTCTGGGCACCAGGCTCTGTTTTGTGTTATTTTCTGCATACTGTGTCCTGCTGCCCCTGCACGTGGCACACAGGGGCCCCTCTGTCTGAGAGCCCCTTTCTCCCTCAGCTCCCCGGGGGACTCCGACTCCCCCCTCCCAACAACTCAGATGTCCCCTCTCCCCAAAAGCACCCTTGTCGCTCATCCCGCACTTTGGACAGACCTGGTTCTTCTATCCCACACTGTTCTCCAGTGTCTACTTCCGCCTCCTGACCGGATGGCCGGTTCCTCGACGGTCAGCATCGCAACATGTATCTGCTGCTTAGTAGAGGGCCCGGCATTGTCGTCACTCAGTTGGGCCTTGCTGGGTGAAGAACTAGTGCGTGTTGGGAGTAGCTGGGAACGAATGTTCCAGGGGAAGCCTCACTGGCTCAGTTAGGGAAGCGCCTTACTCATCTCTCGGAGAGGACTGGAACTTTCTGTCCCTGTTTCACAGCTCTCTCCTCACACAGCCCATCAGCTGCCCCTTGCTGAATACACCTGCTAAAAATCACCCGACTGCCTCTCCTGGGCGCCAGTGTGCCTGTTCACGCAGGCTTCCCTGCAGACCGCACAGCGCTGGACTTGGCACTGGACGGCTCAGATTTTACAAGACAAACATTGTAGATGTCTGTGTGCACAAGGGAGCTGAGAAAACCAAGCCCCCACTTCCACCCTTTTCCACATCAGGTCAATGAAGCCTATTTTAGGAAGGCTGATTCTGTGTGCAGTGATTCTAAGACATCTAGGAGAAATCGCCAAGAGTCACCAGCCAGGAGCTGTCTCAATTCTCCCTGAAACGCGACAAGAAGGGCACCTCTAGCGAGACCTATTTTAAAATCTGCATGTGTCCCCACCTTCAACCCCAAATCCCAGGTTTCCGGGATGACACCTATTTTGTTCACACCATCGAGTATTTCAGGAAACTCACCTACACCCACTCCTTTAAGATCCTTAACAATAAAAACACCTAATAGTTGCTGAGTGTGTTCCTGGGGCCAAATACTGTTCTGAGCACTTTATGTGTATTTCCTGGGCCTCCTACAACCACTTTGCAAAGCTGGTCCTATTATTATCCCCATATTACAGGTGAAGAAAGAGAGGGTCGGGAAATGGGCACAGAGAGGTTAATCGCTAGCCTGGCCGCCTGGGGCTGCCTCCCATCACTTCTTGATGCCACTGATCTTCAGCCTCAGCTGCTCAAAAGCAAAATATATGGATCCAAGAGGTGAGTCTGGACCCCGAGAGGAGGGAGGGGGCTCTAGGAGTCTCATGGACTCACCTGAAACCAGTATTTTGGAAGCAGGAGAGTCCCCAAACACATCAGTCCAGACCTCCCTCTTCAGAGAGGAAAGTAAAGCCTAGAGGGAGGGTTTCCTCTATACCAACCCTGACTCTATGGGGGCTGGGGGGCTCACCTGCCTGGTTCTCATGCTGAGGGGGCATAATGAAGGGGTGTGGGGCTAGGGAAGAGGGGAGGAGTGTTTGAAGCAGCCTGAGTCCGGGGAAAATCCTCAGTGTGCACTGCAAGGGGGCAGCGGCCTGCTGCCATAGCATGAATCCCTCCTGCCTGAGCCTGGGGAGGAAGGCCAATGGCCTTGCAGTCCCTGAGAACAAGGACTCCAGCTCCCTCCAAGGGGCTGCCTCGGAGGCTTGGGAGGAACATGGGGGTGGAGGGGCTGGGATCAGGCAAGGGCCTCTCTCCCTCATTCTGGCTCCAGACAAAGAACCACCTGCTCCCCTCCCACCCCTCCCCACCCCCCTGGGCTCCCTGCTGTTGTCCTAGTGACAGGCCCCCCTGTGGCCCCCCCACCCCCTAAGGCCTGCCAGTCCGGCCCCAAGCACATTACAGACTCCAGACTGCAGAGAATGAGCTGGAGTCAGGCCGAGCCTCCCTCCTCTGCCAAAACTCTACCTTTCATGCCAGGGCCAGACAGGCCAGACAATGGGGGGTCACCGCTACCCTAATAATGAGGCCTCAGGGGTAAAGGACTACAACTAGGGGGAGGAAAGGCAGGGAAGGAGTTGGTTGCCTGGGCTTACAGATGTATAAAAGATTTGATCCAACTACCACGCCAACATCTGGGAACACAGACCTGAGAGCAAAGGATAAGAGCGGGCACGGGGCACAGGGCAGGCAGGGAAAGTAAGGGAGACAAAGGCCAGAGAGAGGATGCTGCAAGAGGCGGGGAGAGGTGGGTCCATGGCCCAGAAGAAGATTCCTAAAGGAGGCTGCAAGGAACAGGGCCAATCCCACTCCCGTGTGGGCCACCAACAGCTTGTGTCATTAGGGTGAACATCTGGAGCCATGAGGGCCGCATCTGTACAACCTTGCGGGCTGAGCCAGTGCCAAGTAGCTGTTCTCATGGCCGCAGGCCCATGGGCAGCTCCACTAGCCTCGTTCAAAGCAACACAGTGTGCAGCGTTTTCACGGAGTCTTGGCTGACCCTCCTGGGCACACTTCCGGTTGCTGGTCTCCTTCAAGGTCAGCTATGGGGGATGCTCACATTAGTACCATAGCTTGGGTTTTGGGGGAAACAAACACTACAAATGCAATTTCCTTGTAATCACTGTGTTGAAGTTTCCAGCGCTCCCGCTCCCAGGTTACTCCATACCTCAGAGCCACCCATTTTTGGCACTGGGGACTCGAGGAGTGACGTCTAGGTAGGGTAGGATGAAGGCAGCCTGATTCTAGTGGAGGGTGGTAGAGGCAGCCAGAGGAATGTGGTGTGAATGGACATACTGAGGCAGAAGCCAGGCTGGCATCTCACAACAGCCTCCTGCACAGCCCCCACCTTCAAGTCCACATTCAGCCTGAGTGGAAGAAACCAGTGGGAAAGGATAGTGAACGCACAAAGTGAGGCACTGGACTTCCCACAGTCACTGCCCCCCTCCACCTGCCCTGAAAAAAGCTGCGGCTCTGTAGGACCAAATGCTTAATCCCACTGTCACCCAGTCCTCTGGCCAATTAAACCTCCAGGCCTCTAGCTTTTGCCAGCCTAGGGATCCACATGTGCTCTCCCACACACCCCATCTCCCACCCACGACCCTTCCTGAGGACCTGTGACCTAGGCTGGGACAAGTTTTTCTCTGTATTGTTGCCACCCAGGGCTCCCTCCTCCTCCCTGGGACAAGAAGTCGGGGAAAGAAGGAATCCTGTGCCAGCTGCTGACAACTTAGGCAGATCTTAACCAAAGTGCCTCAGTTTCCCCATCAGTCACATGGCAAGAACTCTCCCTTCTCAGGCCTTCCTTACCCCTGCGCAGCAGTGCGAGAAACCCCACTGGGGTTCCTTGGGGAAAGAGGAACTTATCACATACAAGAGGGCGGCTGAGCTTTCTACATCTTTGCTCCATCAAAGGGTGGATGAGAAAATCAGTATCAGCATGAGGCAGCTCCACACTGGGGGTAGGTAGGGTGCAGGCAGCTCAGTGGGTGCTTTTGAGGGGCCCAGTGACCCTTGCAGGGAGGAGCAGCTAAGCCAGGGGTCATCGACCACTGTCAGAACCTCAGTGATTTTCTAATAGCTCCACAGAGTAGTAGAGGCTGTGGGATCTCCAGTGCCCAGAGAGGTGGGGAGATGGTTGCTGAGCGCCCCCCACCTCTCTTCAGCCAGAGCACCCCACTCTGAGTTGTGTGATATACTGGCCCTCTGCACACCACTTGATTGGACAACACAGAAGGAGCAAAGTGTGCACAAAGCCTCCGCGCTGCCAGGCATTACTTGACCTCAAAGTCAGGGGAAACTCAGGTCACCCTAATGCATCTGAAGAATCTGAGCAACTTGTCCAACTTGGACAATGTGACGTGGTCGCCCCACTGAAAGCTCACAATAACTCTATGAGATGGATACTATCTGAATTCCATTTCTCAGTGGAGAAAAGTGAGGCATAGGGCGCTGAGCTGCTCAAGTCTGAACAGCTGGTAATTGGTGCTCATGGACTCACATCTGGGTGGAGAGCACAGAGCCTCTCATTCCCATTCTTAGGATGTTGTGGCTAAAAAGTTGGAAAGAGGCAGTCTGATTTTCTCACTTGACCACATGCCATGTGTCATACTCATTTAGTGGGTGGGGAAATAGGTTTAGAGCACAAGAGAGACTAGCTCAAGGTCAAGGAACAAGTCAGTGGTCAAAGCGGGAATAGCTGGGAGTTCCTCCATGGGGTGGCCTTGTGCTTCTTTGTTCTTCTCTGTCCTGTTCAATTACATGATTTATAGACCCTGGTTTAGGATGATCCCATAGTCTGGGACCCTTTTGGAAGGAATGATACATAAAACCACATTAAGGGTCTGCAAGGTCTTACTTGTCTGGATTTGTTCAGTCTGACATTTCCCAAACTTCTTTGATCTTTGATCATTGTGTTCCTCCACACCTCCTCCCTCCCCCACTCCAAGGAACACTCTTTGGGAAAAATGCATGAGCCTACAGTAGAGTCATTTTCCCTTCTGTGCAACCTGGCCCCTATGCTGATGGTTCCAAACCAGCC